CATACAAAATCGTTGAGGCGCATAAAGAATATGTTTTGGAATATGTATGTGCAATTGTAGGACAGTGTGCGAAGCTCTTGCTGCCTGTGCAGACTGTAAGGCCCAAAATTTGCCGTTGGTCTTGTGAAGTGAGCACATATATACATACATATGTACATTTGCATATGTGTATGTACATATGTATGGAATGGGAAGACAATTGTCTCTCGATTTAATTGTTTGTAAATTGTAGAGTGACTGTCAAATGGGCCTTTATGAATTAATCAGTGATTTGGGCAATAATGTGTGCAGTTTGACATGTGTATTCATCAATAATTGTAATCACAATTATTTATTCAATCATGTATTAAATAATCATGTCCGTAAGACCGGACTGTTATATCCACTTCATACAAATGGACTATGTATGTATGAGCATGCATACATATGTACGCAGATTTATACATACATATATTATTATAGCTAATAATGTGTATAAATAAACTGTAATTATATATAAATATAATTATTTAAGAGCTGATTAAATAAATAATTGTGATTATGACTGATCTATTCATAAATAAAAAGGATGAAATTAACACCAAACTGAGAAGCTTTCACATTCACATACAAAAAAACTTGGTAAAATGCAATAAAAATATGCTCAGACTTAAGACAAGGCATACCAAATGGCTATTGTCCAAAATGGCTATAATGGTAAGCTCATTGCTGTCTTCAAATCCAAAGCCATCAACATCAATCGAAAATTGGCAATCGATTTGGCTGAAAATCAAGGGCACATCTCTCTTTGTGCATGCCGCCGCATGCATAATTTAACAATATTTTAATTGCTATTTCTTGCCACCTACCAATTGATCCAACAAAATTTAAAAAATATTGTCAGAAAACCATAACACTATAAATGTCCTTATATCTATGGTTTCCAATGTCGGCAAGAATCCATTAAGTGTTAATTCACGGATACCAAATAATAGAAGCATCAATCCTACCATTAGGTGTTCTTGGTGAGAACGCCTCAGAGGCTCGCAATAAATATAAGAGTGACAGGAGGTTACATGCTCAGAAGAGCACACGGCAGAACAATATGGCAGATGTTTTCCACAGAGCCATGGATTCCTCAGATCTTCTTGTGTCGAGCATCTATCTGACAAAAAGATTGGGTCAGCAAAGCAAACCTCGCCTACCAGCAGACGTAATCGACCTTCTGGAATCACCAAACTCGCCATATTTATGTAGCATGGGCAATAATAACAATGCTCCCGTTTTTGATGCTACCAATACTGATGGTGATTCAGATTCTGACGCTGAAAATCCGTTTTCAATAGAAATTGTTCTAGAAGATGACTTTTAGGAACATTTTTAAATAATAATAATAATAAATTTAAGTAACAATAAGAGGAAACCTATATGGACGGCTAGAGAAGACGTGGTCAGATCGGTCTGAAATTTAGATATATTTTAAGGTGTATCGACACTATCATATGTACCAAATTTCAAGAACCTAGTATTAAAACATTAATATTCATCGAAAAATCGGCTCGCTAGCCCACAGTGCCCTACTGCTACCCTACACCATGAATGAAATGGGTGTATCCGTTTCGATTAAATTATATTTTGTTGGTACTTCATGATGTTTCTTAACATATTGGGTCCCGGGGTCCGATCATGGGGCAAAGATGGCTTCTTCACAATATGAATATTAAATTTGGCGACTCTAGCTTTAAAAATAAAGAAGATATAAATTTATTACTGATTTTCGATAATGTTTTAATCGATAACAAAATAACGGAAAAAGTTATCGATTTTTGAAGCAAAAGTCGATATGCACGTTATATACACAGACCTAAAAAGATTCAAGTCTCTAGCTCTTATATTTTCTGAGATCGACGCGTGAGGTATCAAACATACCGACAGACAGACGGACGGACCAATGGACAGGGGTCTGCCACGCCTCCTTATGTCTGTTACATACTTTTAACAAAACCGTTATACCCTGATTTCCCATTTTCAATGGGTTCAGGGTATAAAAAACGAGAAATTATCCCGTTATTATACCCTGAACCCATTGAAAATAGGAGATCAGGGTATAATAAAAGTAAACAGACATAAGGAGGCGTGGCAGACGCTGTCCATCGGTCCGTCGGTCCGTCTGTCGTTATCCCGTTATTATACCCTGAACCCATTGAAAATGGGAAGTCATCACAAAAATTAAATTTGAAACAAGTAAGAAAACTTTAGTCGAGACTGCTACATAATTAAAATTAATTAAATTTTGTACAATTAGAATTTGAAAAAAAAAAAAACGTTTTTAACAGAACCTGATTTTTATTTTCAGATTGCGAAATTCACAATTCTCATTCCATTCTGTGATCGTATTTATAGTTTTACGGAGGACTCAGAATTATATACTTACACATGACGGCGTTTCGTTTTTAATAAGACTTTTGTGAATGGCACCAGGAAATATAGTAAGATCATCAATGTATATTGGTAAGAAGAATAAAAAAAAAAAGTTTGTAAATATATTAAATGACTTTTATTAGAGTTACTATGCGTATAAAATTTGATCAGCTTAGGCTGGACTGATTGTATTCATTTTTTATATAAATTTTGGTTACTGTAACTTTCGAATAAATTTTTAATTTATAAATTTTTATTTATGGTGTTTTTTTTTTTTTTTTTTTTTTTTTTTTTT